GGGTTAGAGAGCAACCAAAGGACTTGTATGCATGCATATTAACATAACCAATGGACACAGACACTGGGGCGGTTGGGGCTTGCCCGGGTTGGGAATGGCTGGCGGGGGGAGGGCGGAGAAGGAGGGTCAATAGGGAAAAAGGAGGCATATGTAAAACTTTAGACAATAAAACAAACAAACAAACAAAAACTAGATTGCTGGGCAATCTATAATGTGAGCTACAGAAGCAAATTTGAACATTTTAAAATTTTTAGTAGTTAATTTAAAAACGTAAAAAGAAACAGGTGAAACGAGTGGATACTGTTTTTATTTAACCCTACATATCCAACATATTCCCATTTCAATATATAATGAATATAAAACTGTGATGAAATAGCCTAAACTTTTTTTCCCCATACTAAGTCTTCAAAACTGGGTGCATTCGACGCAGCACATCTCAGTTTGGAATAGCTGCTAGTATATTTCAGCAGCTTCAGGTGGCTGGTGACTAATGGATTGAACAGTGTGGTTTTAGACTCTAAAATTTAGAACCTCCGAATTCTCCGAACTTATGCCACCAGAATAAAGCAGCTAAGTTCACAGTTTTGAAAACTCTGCCAGGGTGTTTTGGAACAACCACTGACACCCATTCCTGGAGCCCAGGTTGGAATTCTTGCTCTTAAGGTTCCCACAGCTCCCAAAGGATCTGGTGTTGCTGTTTCCAGCAGAAAATAACAAAATAGCCTTTGCTTTGGTGGCGTACATGTGGGGGCACACTGGCTCACCCGAGCTTTAAAACAGGGGCTTCTGCTCTTTCTGTCCCTGGTTTCTTGGTACTACCCGCCCCGCCCCCACCTCCAAACACACACACATCATCATCATCATCATCATCATCATCATCATCTCCTTTACTCTCCTGTTCTTACTTCACCTTCAATTGCTACAGGTTTGTGGGGGGGGGGGGGCAAGGGGGGGTATGGGGGGGGGGGGGGAGAGAGAAAGAAATAAAAGAATTAGAATTAATAGAGATTCCTAGCCTGCCAGATAAACCGGCCTCTCCTATACCAGGTGTTCTTTGTATTTGCGACAAGGGTTTATGGATAAGAAAGAGGATTTGTACTCAAATATGAGAAACATTCTAATGCTTGGCTGGATATACTGTTCACGCTTCTATCGCTTCCACTGTCCTTCGAAGCATTTGTCCTCTAGTGCATCTTGACAAAGCGCCTGCACAAAATTAACAGGCTTGCAAAGCCTGGAGGAGCAACATTGATCTGCCTATAATTTGTTTGTGGAGTGATCAGAACGGGGTTGAGGTGATTTCAATTTCGGAGCCCAAGTCGCCAGGCTGGCTTTTTGTCAGGCAATTAGTTCCGCTGGCTGGGCCAGCGTGCCCTGATGCAGCGCCTCGGGGAACCGGGCACATGGGAGCGCGTAGCCTGTGTTGCTTCCTCCAGTGTTTCTCATGTCGCTGTGGTTTATTTTGGGTAAAATTCCCTTCTGTGACTTTGCTGAGCATAGTTCTGTGGGTAAGTGCTCTGGAGAAGGGGTTGGAGGAGGATAAGCAGAGAGAGGAAATCCTATCAGTAGTTAATACTTCTAGGTTGTCTGGCAATGTGTTAAGCTCACAGTCCATGAGCCCTGCGATGGATCGGCCCACAGAGGGAGGCCCCACCCACCCACCGCAGCGCCGCCAGCCAGGTAGCCTGGGCCTCCCTCTGCGGGGCTATCGTGGGGCGATGGCCGACCCGACCAATCGCATCCCACCAGCCTTGGCTGACCTGGGGCCAGTGTATGTCATAGCGTGGTAGTCCAGATGGTCAATTTGCATATTATGCTTGTATCATTATAGATACCAACAACCTCAAATGATAGGTATTAATATCCTCATTTTACTAATGATGAAATCAAGGGGCAAAGAGAGGTGAGTAATTAGCCAGTCACACTTTGAGAAGTGCAGTTGGGTTGCAACATGGATGCTCTCAATTCCTGAACTATGCTGCTTGCTCAGTCACGGCCTGAGCTTCGGGAAGGAACGGGTCTGGATGAAGAGACAAAACCATAGTAACCCCAACAATGCACTTCCACTCATGAGGGCAGGGACTGTGTCAGTATCCTCCAAACCCAACAGAACTGGACTCATTGAAGGTGCATCGTAGGCACATAGGAGGCACAGCCATATTCGTTCAGTGACTGAACTACATGATCCCTTCTGACTCTCACAATGACCATGAGAGGAAGCAAGGAAAGGTATTATTATCTTTATTTATGATGACTTTACCTGAATTGAAGGGAATATCTCACCTTCCCAAAGTGATTTAAACAGATTTCTGAGTTGTTGCAGTTTTAATTGTTGTGGTAACAACTTGCCTGTGAAGGCTGAAGTTCCCAGAAGCAGGGACCATTTCCTATACGTTCGTGTCCCGTTCGTCACAGCGCAGAGAGAGGACCCTCCTGGGATGACAGGGTTCTATCAGACAGCACTGCTCTAGAGGCAGGCAGAGGCCAGTGGTGGTTACCTAACATCACACCCAACTCCAGAGCTGGAAGTGGAACTTAAGAATTTTTGAATGGATAAATGAAGGAATACCATAATGGGAGTGTTTCTTAATATAGACTGAGCTGATGACAGTGATCAGTCATGGGCTGAATTAGTGCTTGCCAGGGTAGCTGACTCCATTTTTCAAAATGAATCGTCCAAAAGAGCAAAACAACTCATTTCTTTAAACATGTCAAAATGCAGTTTTAAATGTCGTGCTAAGTAATGACAAGATGCCGGAGTGGTTTAGTCAGTGATTACTGTTGTTTTGTTAGTAATTAAAAAACAAAACAGGAACAATGTTTGTGCCAATATGGCATTTAAATAGTCAAAACCAACTCCACTTAGATTATGAATTAACTCACATTTATTAATAATATATTTCATTTATTTTGTATCATTTTTCATGAAGCTTAAAGTGTACCCTGGTGATTATATTAGCTAATGTCATGGAATCTATCTATGTCAGGGGACTGGCATTGCCTTTTCAAAAAAAAAAAAAATGACAGAGAAATGAAAAAATGTCAAGGTTTTAATTGACCATGATGCCCAGCCAGCAGGTGTGGAATCCTGAGTCCCCTCTGCTTGCCCGGGGATTGTCTCACCTACACTTTTGGGGACATTTGAATGAAAAAAAAAATAGCAAAAAATAAAATAAAAATACTGGGAAGGCTTGGGTTCTTGCACTAAATTTCCCAGAAAGTGCAGATTATTTTAAATTGCTACCTGCCCTAACCAGCTTCTTAGGGGAAGAAATGCCTTTTATCAGTTTAGTAAGTTGGCATTTTGTAGAAACACAACAAAGGCTGTGTCACATGTAGCCTCTTTTGGCCTTTAATCTCATCTATGAGACTGCCTGCCCTTAGCTAAGACTGATCTAATATAATTTGTGAAATGGACATGCAAAGGTGGTTGGGCCTTATTCTAAGGACAATGAGATGCCACTGGAGTATTTTACACAGGGGAGTAGAATGAACAAATTTATATATTAGAAAAGTCAATCTGCAAGGCATAAGAGGGATGAGAGAGCCAAGACTGGGAGTTAGAGTCTAATGTAAAGACTTTCATTAATCAGGGAAAGAGATGATTGGGCAGAGAATAGGTAACATATTAGGGAAGTGTATAGATTTGAGAAATATTAAGAAAGAGAAGCAACAAGACTTATGGTTTAGAAATGGGGGGTGAGGAAGGCAGAAGTTAAGGTTGATCCCTGCCTTGGGCAGCTAGTGATTGGTGGCACCATTAACCTAGACAGGGAACAAGGGAGAGGAAGGATGATAAATTCAACTGTATTCTGGAATCTAAAGTGAACAATGAGGCATCCAAGTGAGCTTGCAGAAGGCATTTGGATAGTCTAATCTGAAGCTCAGGGGACCAATCTGGGCTGGAGATAAAGATTTTGAAGCTGCCACCACCACCTGAATGACATTTGATGCATGAAAGCAGATGAGATCCCCAAGTGAAAATGTGGAGTGAGGTGCTAAGAAGGCCAATGATGAGATCAGCCTAGGAAGAGGAGCCCAGAGAAGCAACCAGTGAGAGAGGAAGAGAACTAGGAGATTATAGTGGGATCAAGGAGAAGAGACTATTTCAGGAAGAAAGGGATGGTCATTGTGTCAAATGCTCAGAGAGGACCATAAAGTGGGGGTTGAATGGTGTCAATATGGTTTTTCAAGAGAGAGGTCATTGGTGACTTTGGGGAGTGAACTTCCTGGGGAATGATGGGAGCAGGTGGGTTGCAGTGGGTTGAAGAGTGAATGGGAGTTGTAGAAGTGACAGCAAATATAAATGACTCTCAAAAACTTGGTGGTGAAGGACTTTTGAGATGGTTGGTAACAGATGTCCTCTCTATCACCACTGTGCCATTTTCAGATGTGTACCTCCTATTAGAGGTGTTTGTAACCTCCCTATGCTCTGTACTACTGCAAGCATGTTGAACGTACAGATGGGGTCTTCTACATCCTCACCTCTTCTTAGTTCCTAATGTAGGTCTTGCATGTAGAAAGAAGGTGCTCTGTTGATATGTTTACTTACTAGTACTTTCCAGCTTTCAAATTTAAGGCTCCTATTGGACTTAAATATATATATAAAGTGTGTGTTCTTTCATGTGTTTGCCTCTTATGCAACTTTTTTTGAATAAAAAGGTCTCAATTCCAGGTGGGAAAAAGGTAATGACACAGATCCATAAAAATTTAATAGAATGGAATGTTTTCAGAAAATTTTATGAATTGGGGAAAAATCCCCCCCCCAAAAGCCCCAGAAGAAATAGAACAAGGATGAATATGTTTTAATAAAAAAATTTATTATGATTATTTACACCTCCTTGATAAGCATATAAATGTAAACTTTTATTGTTGGCTTTATTTCACAGATGACTTATCCAAATTCAGAGTTAATACCATCACGTGAGTATACAGGTAGTGAGAAAATTTTATTATATTCACAGAATATACATACACGTGCATTCAAAATGTGTCCCTCCTTAAGCCAGTGGTATAGACACTGCCCCGTTGACCCTGCTTCTGCTTCGCAGGTGGACACTGGACTCTGTGATGTCGTCCACATGCTCCTCACTCTTCTTTTCCTTCAGGCTGTTGATGAATCTCAGGGTGATTTCATCCCACTCCTCCGGCAATAGCATCAGCAGAAATCCAATGCAGATGATGATGGTAGCAGCCAGGCGCACGACATTGAAGATCACCTCCTGCTTCAGGAGATCCACAGCTAAATAAGAAATATCAGGTCATTCACTGTCTATGACTCTTTCTAAGCTTTCTTAAAAAGAAAAGACCAAAGTTGGTGCTACTTCTAGAGATTTCCAAAGGTCTTCCTTGTTCTTTCAAGCTCATCTTTCCTTTTTTATACCATCATCTGTGGCATTCCCTTCGTTTGCTTTTCATTCCTTCTCACTAAATCATACTTATCCTTCAAGGCCCCTATGATCTGATTTCATCACCGCTGCAGTTTTACTTCTTAGGATTTTTCCTCTGCATCCCTTAATGCTTCTCCAAGTTTCATTGGCCCACTGAAGATTTTACAAATGAGCCAACCTGTTAATGTCTAGGTCTTTTGCACATGC